GGCGATTGTTTGAGTCCAATCTGGTTCTGCCTCTCTCTGAACCCTCTCAGTACCTTACTGGAGGGCTCCGGGAGGGGATTTCAGCTTCGGAGAGGAGGTACAAAAGTGACCCACCTTTTTTATATGGATGATCTCAAATTATTCGCCTCCAGTCGCTCTCATCTTATGGAATTGCTAAACATCACTTGTGATTTTAGCAATTCTATTAGAATGGAGCTGGGGATGGATAAGTGTGCGATCCTCCATGTCGAAAGGGGAAGGGTTGCTAACTCTGAGGGCATAGATTTATCTATGCCCATCTACATAAGGACCCTTTCCGAGGCTGGAACATACCGATACCTGGGTATGTCACAGAACATCGGTGTAGATGAGTCGGGTATGAAACGGTCAGTTTGCGATGTGTTTTATGCACGCTTGACCAAAGTACTTAATAGCCTTTTGTCCGGTGTGAATAAGACACGCGCATATAACGGTTGGATCATGCCTGTTCTCATGTATACCTTTGGCATACTCAGGTGGACTCAGACCGAACTGAACGCTCTGGACAGAAAAGTCCGCACTATAATGACGTCCCACAGGATGCATCATCCGAGATCGTCAGTAATGAGGCTGTACTTGCCGCGGAAGCATGGTGGGCGCGGCTTTTTAAGCGCGCTTACCATGCATAATCGCGAAGTGTGCAGCCTCCGTAATTACTTTCTGACGAGAGCGGATGATCCATACTATAGGGACGTTATTTCTTGTGATAAAGGACTTACCCCTCTATCCTTAGCCAACGAGCAATGGCGGGACCCGGCAGTACAGAGCATTTCCGACCGGGAGACCGTATGGAAGGAGAAGGAGCTCCACGGGAGGTTCTACAAGTCTCTACACGAGCCTTTCGTAGACACAGTCGCCTCCCTCCACTGGCTACGTTTCGGTGACCTCTTTGGGGAAACCGAGGGTTTTGTCTGTGCGATACAGGACCAGGTTATTAAGACCAACAATTATCGGAGATACATCCTAAAGGATGGCACCGTCGACGTCTGTCGAGCTTGTCGCCATCCCGGTGAGTCACTTAGGCATGTCATCTCCGGTTGTTCGGCGCTTTCTAACTCTGAGTATTTGCACAGACACAACTTAGTAGCCAGGATTCTACACCAGGAGCTTGCTCTGAAATACGGTCTCGTGGATCGGAAACTGCCGTATTATAAGTACTTGCCGGAAGCCGTACTCGAAAATGACCGCGCCAGGCTCTACTGGGACCGGGGCATCATCACAGACAGGACTATTCTTGCGAATAAGCCTGATATTGTGCTGATGGACCGGGCACAGTCAAGGATATTTTTGGTCGACATTACCATCCCTTATGACGAGAACCTCGTGAAAGCCGAAACAGATAAGCTGACAAAATATCTGGACCTGGCTCACGAGGTGACCGACATGTGGGGTGGACTGCCAGCCGAAATTATACCTGTAGTCGTCTCTGCGAATGGGTTAATTCCAATCAGCCTCTCGGGTCATCTGAGGCGACTGGGACTCCGTGACGGACCGCTCCAAGCTCAAATGCAGAAGGCGGTGCTCCTCGATACCGCCCGCATCGTCCGCCGGTTTCTTTCCCTTTCCCCCTAACCCTCGGCCGTTTGGTCTCCCCTGCCGAGGGCTTCCATCTAGTTGGGTTTTTATATATTTATGTATTTTTTATGTATTTATTTTATTTTATTGATATTTATGTACGTTTACCATGATTATTTACAATTATATATTTATATTTCCCAATTAGATGAGAAAACTATATAGATATCACATAATAATAATAATAATAAATGGTTTTTATTTATTTATGTATTTTTTATGCATTTATTTTATTTTGTTGATATTTATGTATGTTTATCATTTTCATTTACAATTATATATTTATACAGCCCGACCAGATGAGTAAACTATATAGCTGCCCCAAATAATAATAATAATAAGCATTTATTCATTACCACCAATAAAGTTAAAATGACTACATACAGAAATGACAAGAATTACATAATGTAGTAATGAATGGGCTCTAGCTCAGCATAAATGTTGCAGTTGCCTACAACGCTGTTATTCTGCCAGCGCCCAACATATGAACAGTACAGTATGCGCGCATCCCTTTAATCACAACTATTCACATTAGGGTACATACCGTGGATCCCCGACTATTAGCCAGTTCAAATTAATAATCAAATATATATATTTTTATTACCATTTTTTTTTAATTTTTTTAAAATAAATAATTATTACAACAATATAACTAATAATAAGTAACATAAATTATAAAATAATATTGATATTAACAAGCCTAACTTCTTTAATCTCTTATAAGTTGTTTCCCCACCTACTACATAGCAATGTTTATTATTTGTTTTAAGTATTTACAGGGCGGTCCTGCATTTAGGTAAAAATAAGCCGCTTATGACAGTATTTGTTCTCTTAGTAAGTGACGTCTATATTTCTTTTTAAAACTCGATTTACTTGTCGTAGTGCGTAGTGGTGGTGGGAGATCATTCCAACACTTAGTTGCCATAAACTTAAAACTCCCTCGGAAAGCCTTTTGTGTTTTGTGTTTAGGGACGCAAAAAACTTTTGAGCATATTCGGGTTTTATATACATGTTGGTCATTTCTCCAATTAAGTTTTTTGTATAAATATTCTGGATTCTTTGTATTTATTATGCCGAATAGCAAAGAAGCATAAAAAAGTTTGAGACGCCCCTGCATTTTTAACATATTCGAGGCATTAAGATATGATGTAACATGAGTTCGTTTCGGTATGTAAAAACAATAGCGAGCACAAGCATTCTGTACCCTCTGGATTAATTTTTGTGATTTTTTAAGCAAACAAGGTCCATAAACAGTTATACAATAATTTAATTTAGCTAAAACTAGGGTTTCACAAAGCTTTACACGTAAATTAACTGTGATAAATGGTCTAAATCTATACAGAACTTTTAATCTGTAAAAGCAGTTTTGTACCAAATTAATCACATGATTTTCAAACCTCAAATTGCTGTCAAAAAGAATGCCTAAATTTCGTGCTTCATGAACTTGTGCAATTGTCTCTCCATTAACATGTATATCAGGTCCAGTTATAGCTATATCATGTACCTCCTTTTAAGTGCCAATTATAAGGAATTTTGACTTTGAATCATTGAGAACCATGGAGTTATTTTGTGACCAATCGCAAACACGTTGAATATCCTGATTTAACTTATTTACTAATGTGTTAATATTTTTTCGATCTATGGGAATATATACCTGTAAATCATCAGCGTATAGATGGTATTTACAGTTTTTGAGACAGTTTATCATATCAGCACTGTAAATAATAAAAAACAAAGGCCCTAACACAGATCCTCGAGGAACGCCTCTATCAACAGGAAGAAGCTTAGAAATAAAGTTTTTACCATTATGCCTGTCTAAAATTACTTGTTGATATCGGTCAGTTAATAACTTTTAAACCACTTGAGTGTTTCATTATCAAAACCATAATATGAAAGCTTAGAAATCAGTAAGTTTGTGTTAATTGAGTCAAAGGCCCTTGAAAAATCTAATAAAGTGAGAATAGTACCTTCTCCAGAATCCGAAAAAGATAATATATCATCCACGACATTAATAAGAGCTGTTGCTGTTCCGTAATTTTTTCTAAAACCTGATTGTAGGTTGGGTATTAATTGATTTTTTTCACAGAAATTTATTACTTGTGAGTAAACAACTTTCTCAAGTATTTTTGATAAGTAAGGCAGTATACTAATGGGTCTTAGGTCACCTACATTTGTTCGGTTACTTTTTTTAGGTATTGGACGAATAAGTTCAGTTTTCCAAGAAGAAGGAAAAACAGATTCTGTTATGGATTTATTAATAATTGCAGTGATAACATTTAAAGTTCTCGGAAGCGTTAGAATTATCATATCCATATTAATGCGGTCAATACCTTGAGCATTTGACTTAATACCCATTATGATTTTTGCAACCACATTTTCATGAACTGGTATTAACCTAAAAGTATTAGAGATACAGTTTCTGCTTTCCAGATTCCTTACATTAAATGATTTGACGATATTATTTGTTCCCGGTATACTCAAAAAGTGACGATTAATTTCGTCAGGATCACTAAAGTGTTCTGGTAAGTCATTCGAATTTTTAAATGACGGTAACGCGAATGACTTCAAATTTTTCCATAGAACATTTGTATTATGTAGATGTTGATTAATGTGGTAATCAAAATATGCCTTCTTCTCAGCATAAAGACTGCTGTTTACCAGACTTTTTAGGGTTTTGTATTGAATTTTATCTTTTTCAGATTTTGTGCGACGATATTTATTGTGAGCGTCATCTCGGAGCTGCATAATGTACTTAACATTACTCGTAAACCATGGCAGTTGTTTCTTACGGATAGTTATTAGTTTCTCTGGAGCATGTTTATCAAACAGCTCTAAAATGCGTTTGGAAAAAACAGAAACCATATCGTTCACATAATTATACCTCGTAATGCTATCCCAGTTTATGGATTCAACTTCCGACTCAAAATCTGACAGATTGATATTTTTTATAGGTCTTATAATTTGCTGCCTTAGGGCTACCTTAGGCTTTTTAATTTTAAAATCGACTAAAATGATAGCATGACCACCAAGTTCAGTCTCTAACTTGGCGCCAAGATACCAACAGATTACAAAAGGTGTAGTTTATATAATATATTTCTTTTTTGCAACCTACCTTCAACTAGGGGCTACAAAGGGCGGATTTACTGCCTTACGGCATTCTAAGCAAGATGGAATAAACAAAGATATTGGTAGGTGCAAATTAAGTACAATAAAAAACCTATATCTATATAACCTAAATCTATCAAATAATAATAATAATAATAAGCCTTTTATTTCATGCTAAAAATGAGATACATACATAGTTTATACTTTAATGAAAAAAGCAAAAAGAAAAAAAAGTTTACATCTGGATAATAATATATAAGTTTGTTTGCATGAAACCCTCCTCAAGTGAAGGTGAAGGCCTCCTCTAAAGAATTCCATGTGTCTCTATCTTGAGCTATTTGCGGCCAGCAGGTACCAGCTGTTTTTATCAAATCGTCTGCCCATCTCGTGTGGGGTCTGCCTTTGAGACGTTTGCCGATTGGACCCTTCCACGTTGTTACCCTGGTGGTCCATCTCTCGTCCTTTAGTCTCGCTACGTGTCCAGCCCACTTCCATTTTAGTCTTTTAGCGTAGGTTAGAGCATCCGTCGCTTTGGTGGTTTCTCTAATTTTTGTGTGACGAATTTTTTGAATCTTTTTAATGTTGAGCATACTTCGTTCTATTCCGCGTTGGCAGGTCGTGATTTTGCTTTTTAATTTGGATGTAAATTTCCAAGTTAGACAAGGTAGGAGGCATGACATCATTACTTTTGTTTTGATATTTGTTGGCATGTTACTTTTGAATATCTCTTTTAAGGACCAGTACTTGTTCCAAGTATTTTGAACTCTTCGTTCTACTTCTAGTTCATTATGTTTTCTGTTGAAGCCAATTTGTTTTCCAAGGTATATGTATTTCTCTGTATATTTCAAAGTTTCATTGTCCACTGATATTCTTCTCTGTATACTATTTGTCATGACCATTGTTTTCGAAAGATTAGTTTCTAGTCCTACCTGCTTGCTAGCTGTGTTTAGTGAATCGATCATGTTTTGTAATTGTGTGCTAGATTCTGACAGCAAAACTAAGTCATCTGCGAAGCGTAGGTGGGATAAATAATTGCCATTGATATTTAGTCCTGTCTTTTCCCAGTTGAATCTTTTTATTATTGACTCTAGGATAGATATAAATAATTTTGGAGACAGCGGGTCGCCTTGTTTTACGCCTCTTTCGATGGAGAACGTAGGACCAGTGGATTCTAGTTTTATTTTTGCTGTGCTACCTTTGTAAATATTTTTGATTATATCTATATACTCTTGTTCAACTTTTTGAGCTTGCAGGGCGGTCCATATGCTTGAATGTGACACGCTATTAAAAGCTTTTTTGTAATCGATATATGCGATGTAGAGCGTTCTTTGCTGCTCTTGGTATTTTTCCATTATTTGTTCTAGAGTATGTATATGATCGATCGTTGAAAAGCCTTTGCGAAAGCCTGCTTGTTCTATTGGTTGGTTTGCTTCTATTGTGACACTTATTCTTTTGTTAATTATGGAGGAAAACGGTTTGTAGATACATGGGAGTAAGCTTATAGGCCTGTAATTTGTGATATCTTTTGAGTCACCTTTTTTATAAATTAAAATTATTTCTGACTCTACCCACTGCGATGGTATTTCAGCAGTTTTTAATATAAGGTTAAATAAAAAATCAGTAGCGGCCAAGCAACCTTTATAGCTTCATTTGTAATGCCGTCTGGACCTGGGCTCTTATCTATCTTTAGCCTTTTTATTTCTTGTGTGACTTCTTTTTCAGTTATTGGTGTTATGTTTCCGCTTTTGTTTGTAGAGTTAACATTGTTTGTATTTTTTATGCTTTATATAATGTTTTATAAAAATGGGTTGCTATATCTATGATTTCTTTTCGATTATTTGCGGTTTTGTCCTTACGGTTTAAACTATCTATCCAATATTTATTTGTTCTTAGTTCTTTAAGGGCCTTTTTTGAGCTTCCTGCTTTTTCCAGATGTTTGTCGATAGTCCTCAATCTGTAGCTTTTGTAGTCATGTTTAATGTATTTACTTATTAATTTGTATAGAGCTGATAATTCATTTTTAGTGGCTCGAGTTTTTATTTTAGCATGTTGTAACTATTGTCTTATCTTGATAAGTTCCAGTGTGCGCTCTTTTAGAACTTTATGGTTACCTTTTGATATTTCGTTGGGGGTTCGAGCGTTCTGTAAGCTCTGGGTTATGGCCTTGGTTAATGTGTTATAGAAAGCCTGTACTGATGTTTTTTCTTGGCATTTATCTAAATCTTGTAACTGAGATGAGATGTTCTGTTTATAAAATAATATTTCTTGTTCGGTTTTCAGTGATGAATAGTGGTTGCTTTTATACTCTGTACGTTTTTTCTTCTGCTTTGTGATAGACATTGTTGCTCTGATTGCTCTATGGTCTGACGGGTAGTACAAATTTTAAACTTCTATGTTTTGAAAGATGTTTGGTTGATTTATATTATACATAATCTATTTCATTTTTGTATTTATTGTTCGGTGATCGCCAGGTCCATCTTTGGTTTGGTTTTTTATGAAAGAAAGTATTTAAGATGGCCAGTTTGTGTTCGAGGGCGAAATCAATTAGCCTCTGACCTCTCTGGTTTCTTTCACCATACCCGTTTGGTTTCATTATTAGATGTTCATCTTTTCTTGGTTGACCTATTTTCGCGTTAAAATCACCCATTATTATATAGTTCTTGTAAATTTGGTCTAGTGCTCTATTAACATTTGAGTAGAAGGTGTTAATCCCTTCTTCACACGCTGATTCAGTCGGTGCATATATTTGGATAATTGACATGGGCAATTCTTGTATGTTTAAGTTCAATAATGCTACTCTATCATTTATGCCCATAAAACTTTCAATCCAGTTCTTGGGAGTTTTATTTATTATGAAACCGACTCCATGTTTACCAGGTGTGTGTCCCGTGTGGCATAATATGAAGTTACTATATTCTTCTATCCGGGTGCCCGTCTTCCTTATTTCACACAATCCAATTATGTCGTATTTGACTCTAATTAGTGCTTCGCTAAGTTCGATTAGGTGTTCGTAAGTAGATAAAGTTCTGACGTTGTAAGTTACTATGTACAGCTGATCTTTCTTCTTTTTTGTTGAGTTAAGTATATCTTGGGTTTGTGTATCATTTCTTGTTGTTGAAGAAGTCTGAGATGTCATCTTTAGAGGGTTTTGGTCTTGATCTTCCACGGTGACCAGCCGGATTGGAAGATGGTTTTCGTTGCTTAGTTGAAACTGATTGAATGTTGCATCGTTGTGGGAGGGGGGGGGGGGGGGGGGGACGGTAGCTATGAATGTAAGTTGTTGGTTGTATTTTCGTTGGTTTGGTTATGTGGTGTGTTGACATTATTTTTTACTAAGTAGCTTAGAATGCTTGGTTTTAGAACTCCTTCTGGGACACTGTTTGATCTGGGTATAGATAGATGGGTTTGATTATATTATTTTGTTTTTCTTGATGGGTCGTGTTGTACTATTACCAACTAGTGCTTGAGAATTAGTATCTGCCTCTGGTGAAGTCATCAGTGTTCTTTTGTTGTTTGATTTTAATATAACAAGTTTATCGTATTTTATCGTGACTTTATTACCTTTCTTGCGCTCTCTATTTGCTTCTTCCTGTAGTTCTTTCCTTTTTTCTAATATGTATTTAGGGTAATCTTGGTTCAAGTAATATTGGGTGTCTTTTAGTAATCTTTTTTACTTGAGAATGCTGATCTTAGAACCAAGCGTAGAAAAGGTTACAATTATTGGTCGCGGTTTATCACCTTTTTTCCCCACTCGCTTTATTTCTTGAATATCTCGACAATCAAATTTTAAGAACAATTTTTCACTTATAAATTGCAATATATTGTTCTCTAAGTTATGATAGGATGTCTCACTCTCTTCAATAATGAAGAAAATTATGTTTCTTTCTGTTGCTTGTTTTTCTATAAATTGAATTTTTTTCTTGTTGTTCAACATTTTTTTTCAATGTTTGATGTTTTTCTTCTAGTATGGTAAATTTCTCTTCTAATTTGTTAGTTATGTTGAGTGTTACTTGTTCTGTCACCATTTCCCCACTTTTCTGGATTTCTATTTTTTGTACGTTGAGTTCTTTTTGAATATTTTTTAAGGCTTTTATAATTTCCTCCATAGTGTCTGTTTTGTTTTGGTACTCGTTGCTCCCTCTAGTAAAAATCTATTAAATATATATATATATATATATATAAATAATATATGAAATTTGGTAGGAGTATTCCTTTCCCCGAGTAGAGGTTAGCGGATTTTACAAGACTCCACCCGCAAAGGGGGTTTGCGGGGGCGTTAATAAAAAAGAATCATATTTTTAAACTATAGCTCTTATAGGTAATAATTCTTTAATTCTTTTTGTATGTGTTTGAATTGGTCCTTAAATAGTTTGGATTCACGATTGGAGCCGGTAGGTGGCGATGTTGTTCATATCCAGAAATCACCCGTGCGAAGCCGGGGCGGATACTTAGTACAATATGTAAATATAATACAATCAACATAGCCCAACGGATTAGTAAGCTGAAGTGGCAGTGGGCCGGCCATATTGCTCGAAGAACCGACAACCGATGGGGAAGAAAGTTTCTCGAGTGGCAGCCTCGTACCAGTAGGCGAAGTGTAGGGCGACCCCCCACGAGATGGAGTGACGACCTGGTAAGACATGCAGGAAGTCGATGGATGCAGGTGGCTCAGGACCGTGCTTTGTGGCATTCCTTGGGGGAGGCCTATGTTCAGCAGTGGACTTATGAAAGGCTGTAATAATGATGATGATGATGATATACAATACACATAAAATACACACATACACATAACATAGTTAGTTGTGTAACATAATGCTTTACGTGGTAGAGCCATGCTGCAGCTATATTAGTAGTATAGTTGTAGTACGAATGGGTCGGCTCGCCCGGGGAAGGACCACACTCTCACAGAAAACCAGCGTAAAATAGCAGCTTAACGCTGCTGTGTTTCGTATGGTAAGTGTAGAGAACCGGAGACCCTTTTTACTGGCTGTAGTGTTTGCATATATGTAGTATACAGTAAATATTGTTATTTGTTTTATTTACTAATAATTTACCATGCACAAATACACAAACATACATTTATATATAAGTCACTGTCTCGAGCGCACCGCGTCAGTTACACGAGAGCCTCGGGCGAGAGTGGACGTGTTGTTTAGTTAAAGTGCGTGCCGAGCCTGTGTTACACTACAGTGGTTAGAAAAGATAGCAGACATTACAAGTGGCGACGAGGAAAAAGATAAGTACCTATTTAGTATAAAGATATAATCAAAAATAGGTTAGCAATGTGCAACTATTAGCATTGCAATTGTAAATTAATTCCTAGAGTACCCGCGGAAAAAAAACTGTGGATTATAAATTATGATTTATTGTTTTTAACCCTGTTCTGATCATTTTAATAATTTATATAAAATATATGTTCGCATTTGACCACGCTTATGGTGTGCTAAAATTTATTTTCTTTATGTAGCAATGATAAAATAATGATTTATTTTAACATATGTCTATTAGCAAAACTTTTATATAAAAAGATTTTTGATGGAAAAATAGTAGATGTTACTAAAAACTCCTCTCGATTCGAACCGAAATACAATGTCGTTAGCTAAATTGTAGTGGCATTTTACATGTAGGTGTGATATTTATCGCCTTTAATGAAAATACAATTTTACTGCTTTCATGGCATATATAAGTCTTACAAAAAATCGTGGACACTTCACCGACTTCTGTACATTGCATAGTAGGTAACTAGTAATACTGTAAATGCGCATTATAGGTACTGAATTCACCCAAAGCCTAAATGGCACAGCAATGGAAGTAGTCGGTATAACAAATAAACCGAAAGAGAAGGGCGAGTGTTAAGGAACATATTACCATCATTAAATTGAGTTTGGGTACAAAGATACCATCATTAAATTGAGTTGGGTACAAAGATACCATCATTTAATTGAGTTGGGTACTAAGATACCATCATTAAATTGAGTTGGGTACTAAGATACCATCATTAAATTGAGTTGGGTACTAAGATACCATCATTGAGTTGGGTACTAAGATACCACCATTAAATTGGAGCTTGGGTACTAAGGTAGGTACCACCATTAAATTGGAGCTTGGGTACTAAGGTAGGTACCACCATTAAATTGGAGCTTGGGTACTAAGGTAGGTACCACCATTAAATTGGACTTTGGGTTCTAAGTTACTACCATTAAATTGGACTTTGTGTACTAAGTTACTACCATTAAATTGGAATTTGGGTACTAAGTTACTACCATTAAATTGGACTTTGGGTATTAAAATACCAGCATTAAATTGGAAAAAAATATAAGAAACTGTTTTAGTTTGCCCCTAAAATAATAAT